AAATTAAAAAAAAAATAAAAAAAAACACCTACACCGACGCCGATACCGATACCGACACCGCTGCCACGATTTGACCGTTTGCGTTCTCGATCGCTGGCACAGTGAAATTTTTTGCTTAAACGCTTATTACGTTTTTTTTTGTTGCTTTGGCGTGTGCTTTCTTACAGTACGCGCGTTCGGCATAGTAGTGCCGTAGGTTTAATATAAAAATTATAAAAACTTTAACTAGGATTTTTTTTGGTTTCTCTCGGCACTTAGCTCCCCTATACTGCGCGCATTCGGCATATTATTCGTTAGTTTTTTTATATATATTATATTATTGAACAAGTGCAGCTCTGAACAGGCGATACCAACATATGGTAGCGGGAGAGGCTTCCAAGCCCAATACTGTTCAGCAGGCCCAATCTAACCCTAAGAAGAATGGAAATAGAAGTTTTTCGTTTGTCGCTGCCGGGAACGACCCTGTTCAATGCGTGTATTGCAACTCAGCTGATTCGATTTCGCTAAAAGAGAAGGGTGCCCATTATGCATTTACTGCTTAAGAAAAGGGTAACACTGCAAATCGAACAAATGCAGAGTGTGCGATTCCTCGCGCTCATGCATGTTCGTATGTTTTGCATGCGAATGCATCGGATCGAGTCATTCTTGCATTTGCTGTTGTGAGCGTTTAAACCAAAAATACAAATGTATTAGCTCGAGCGTTGCTCGACTCTGGTTCAGAAATAAACTTTGAACAAGAGAAGACATGTGCTTGGGCACATTGTGAAGAGCGAGTAGGCCAGTTGTCGTCCGAAATTTGAATCCTAAAAAATATTTGTGGCTATCATCCGGATCAAACGGTGAACATCAGCGGGTGGAGGGTGCCTGAAAATATTCATTCTTCTTCAAGCCCCAAAAAATATAAATTCTTATTGGCGCAGATACGTTCTTTGAACTTCAAAGCAGGGGCCTGAACTACCCATCTTGCAAAAAAAAAGTTCTCGGCTGGATAGTGCCAGGGTGATGTGCCTCTGAAAACAAAATAAAGGCTAAAAAATGGTACATCTCAGCTGCCAGGAGGAAGCGTTGGAGTCAATTGACACAATTTCAATTGATCTGTGGAGGACTTTCCGACCAAGGCTGAAGTCCATACTCCTGAGCAACAACTCTGTCAACAACACTTTGAGAAAAATACTCAAAGATTTTCGTCCGGTAGATTTTCGGTTCGCTTGCCGTTCAAATCTGACTCAAATACTCTTGTTCATCATACGAAGTTGCGAAACGTAGATGTTTGTCGCTAGGAAAGAAAATTGTCAAAGAACCCTTCGCTGAAGAAGATGTATGTTGAATTCATGGAGGAATATGTTTCAATGGGCAACATGTTTTGCACCAATGACGAAATTCCAGATACTCCGAACTTTTTCATTCCGCACCAATGCATTCGACGGCTATAAAGTGCTTCAACCAAGTTGAGAGTAGTTTTCGATGCATTGTGCCGTACATCGGTGTCGTTGAATGACATCTTGATGGTAGGCCCAGCCAATTAAGAGGGGCTGTGCACGACACTTTAGATGGCAGAAGTTTGCCCTTACGGCAGTCGTGAATAAAATGTATCGCCAAGTAAAGGTGGACGAAGCTGACCGAAACTTTCAGCTTATAGTATAAAGACGAGATCCTTCTGAGTCTCTGAAATTTTTAAGTTAAATACCGTTACATATGGAACTTCACCAGCACCCTTCTTGACGAATAGGTGTGCAGGGCCCTCTTTTAGTAAAGAACCCAGACTTTGATATCATATTTAATGATTGCCGCTTTGTGTAGCTTCAAACATACAATCCAGTGGTCCAAACTCAACTGGAACCTTTTAAATGCCTTCGTCTGCTGCCAAAATCCTTGCTCAGCTTTTAAGATCCGGCACGCTCGCACGATGACTCAACCAGATCCAACGTCTTGCCTGTTGCTTTTGAAACTGCTCCCAGCTCTGATTCGCTTCTCTTGTTGACTATCAGCTGCTTCCCAGCCCGTGTCCACGTTCCTTTGCTCGTTAACTGATCCCAATCCGTTGCTTTTCAAACGTTTCCTGAATCGCTGCTCCCTGATCTTTCCCAGCCCTTGTACCGCTACTATCTAAGTTTACCAGCCCGATCCGCTGCTTCTCGATTTATTCCAGATATATTACCGCTGCTCTCTAACTTTACCAGCCCGATCCGCTTCTCCTCAATATTTTCCAGTTAAAGTACCGCTGCATTTTAGGTTTAGGTACCTGGGTAACGATAACTTCTTAATACTATTGGGTACAGAAAGGGATAGATAATGATCACAATGCGAGACCACTTCTGGTTGTCCTTGTTGTACCACTACCGCATCCCAAAGGTGTTTTATGCGGCTAGGAGAGATGCCGCAAGCAACTTATCCAAAAACCATAAAGGTTATTAGAACGATTTTTATGTTGGCAAGACCCTAGGCGTGGTCTGGTTACCGGTTGAAGAATACTTTCAATTTCAGTTGGATGACTCTTTCCTGGATCACAGCGCGACAAAACGAAATATCAACCAAAAAAAATGCGAGTTTGCTTTCATACACCCCAGACTACCGCACTTTGGCGGAGTCCATGCCCTTGTGAATGCCCCGTTTTCGCCACTTAGATTAACATATTTCCAAGCGAAATTATTGAAAAATTAAACTAAGTGATCATTCGAAATTCGTAACATCAATTCCTTTTCGACGTCGCTTATTTCACAAAGGTATTTTCGCAAATAAATCTGCCGTCCCTACTGCAATCACAAGTTTCATTTTCGTTGACACAAAACGGTATTAAACTTTCATACACATTGCTACGGAACAGAGATTTTCGGGGCATTGTGCAAGTTAAATATTGCATTTAATAATATAGCCAGATACCTATTTAATATTAAGTGAGGGAAACACACTACGTTACGCTAACGGTTTTAGTTTTAGTTTAAAAGACTGGATCAATGCCAGGAATCTCAGTCACTTGCAAAATCATAAAATGCAAGGAACCCAGATATCTATATGTAATATGTATTAATATGTATTAATTTGGCACCTTAGTTAGAACCAGAAATATTATAGATATTAAATATGAGTTAGCATCTTCAGATCGTCAATTGTAACGAACTTCCACCAGCAGCACGCAGTGGTGGAAAATTCTCTACAAGGTGAGTTCCAAAGTATACAGGACTTTATGGTAACACGGATTGGTGTTACCATTATTTTATTAATGTAGTTTGATTTCGCAATGAGGAGTTACAAAGCGTGCGTGCAGCTTAGCCAAGAGCCGGAAGAAGCGAGAGATAGAGATGTGTTTCTTAGAACATATCGATCAGAGCGATAACAATAAATATAAATATATAGTTAAGTTCTTTGTTTACAGATTTTCCGCTAGATGGTATTTTGACTTGGGCCGCCACAACTTTTAGAATCAGCGCCCTCTAGTGGCTCCAGCTATATGACAATTGACTTCCATAAAAAATTTCATTAAGTTTTATCTATTGCAAGTGAGGTTATTGCGTTTTAAGTGTCAGTATATTTTTGTCATCGGTGCGAAAATGAGCTTCGCACAAAGAGCCAACATTAAATTTTTTTTTAAATTGCTAAAACTTTTACCGAAACTTTTCAATTGATGAAACAAGTTTATGGCAATGATTGCCTCTCCCGTAGCAGAGTGCACGAGTGGTTTCAACGTTTTCAAAGTGGTCGTGAGGACATAAATGACGATGAACATGTGGGCCAAACAAAATCCGTGATCACCGAAAATTCCATCGAAACTGTGCGTGAATTCATAAAAAATCAGCCGAAATCATCATTAAAATTAATAGTAAAAAAATTGAACATCTCCAAAACATTGATTTGTCGCATTTTGACCGAACATTTGAGCTTACAAAAGGTTTGTGCACAGTTTGTTCCGCACAAATTGACTGACGTCCAAAAGTTGCTCAGAAATCAACATTCGAAGGACATCATTAAAGAGGCAAAAAAAGACCCGAACTACCTTTACAAGATTGTGACTGGTGGTGTGGTGTTTTCAATATGATCCCGAAACGAAACGCCAGAGTGCTGAATGGAAGGCGCCGAACGAGCCGAAACCCAAAAAATCGTGCCTGGAGAAGTAAAAATTGAAGACAATGCTGATTTGTTTTTATGATTCCAAGGGTATTGTCCACAAAGAATTTGTTCCACCCGGCTAAAACGTTAATGCGGTAGTCCTGCAGTTTTGAAGCGTTTGGTACGCCGTATTTGACGTGTTCGGCCCGAATATCGCGAACATGGAAGTTGGCGTTTTTTGCACGATAATTCGCCGTCTCATCGATCGACGCTTGTGTCCGACTATTTGACCAAAAATCACATTTTAACCATCAATCACTCCCCGTATTCACCTGATATGGCACCGTGCGACTTCTACCTTTTCGGAAAAATGCATTTGCCGATGAAAGGAAAGCGTTATGCAGACGTAGAGGCCATACAAAAGGCTTGCACCGGCATACTGGCGGCCATACCGGGCAACGAGCTAAAACACTCGTTCGACATGCTTTTGGACCGTGCAAAACGCTGTATTAAAGCAGAAGGAGACTATTTTGAATAAAATAAATTGATTTTGCCGAAAAAACTATTTGTTCCCTCTTTTTTTTAAAGTCCTGTTTAATTTAGAACTCACCTTGTAATGCCCTTGGCGGCACTCATATGGGCCCAAGCAATATACTTGTAAGTCGAAAGCTTTCGTTTTGTGGTCCAAGCTGTGTATCGGATACGTACAACCAGAGTTATCTGTGCCTTAAGGGTTATTTTGGACACATTGCTGGTATAACACCTATAAAAGAGATAGCTCTAATTAAAGGCTAAACGATTCGTTTATACCTATTTAGAGTTTCCCCTTAAGTTTTTGGTACGTTCAGCTTTGACCATGTTTTAAGTATAAGTATAAAAAACTAAAATTTTAGTTATATTCGATATTTTAACCTTATTAATTAACTAATTATTATTCTGCTTATTTTTATTTCTAGTACGTCCAAGAAGAAATCTTCTTTAATCACGTTAAGTTCACAGATAATTCCCAGTGCTTGGAACTTATAGAAAAAGCTCCCCGGTGTGTGTTCAAGTTATTAACAGAGCAATGTCATATGCCAAAGGGTTCTGATTCAGCTTATTTGAACAATATGCACTCTGAGTTCGAATTTCACCCAAATTATATAAAAGGTTCTGATCGTCGTCATTGGGAAACCGATTTTGGAATAAAACATTACGCTGGAAGTGTAATTTACTCCGTTAATGGATTTGTGAAAAAAAATCGTGATGTGCAACAAGATGTTCTGTTTGATTACATGAGTTTCAGCGAAGATGTATTTATAAAGGATTTATCTAAATTTCAGGTACTTATAGTGAACGATGTTTTTGAATAATTAATCTATTTCAGATGAGGTATGATGCTTTGCTTGTAACTCTTTGTAAGACAATTATATTATATTCTTTTCCAAGGATGAAAGTACTTCCCTGACTCCGGCTTTAATTTCTACGGAGCCCTCAGAACTTGTATACCCTTTCAGAAAGTATTTTATTTTCAGTCAGAGGTTTGAAACGCAGTGAAGGAGACATTTCTGACCCAATAAAGTATATATATTATTGATCTGCAATGTCCGTCCGTCCGTTTCTACGCAAACTAGTATCTCAGTTCTTAAGCTATTTTCATAAAACTTTTCAAAAACTTGTTATTCTATTGCAGGTCGAACATGCATGTATCAATAGAAACAATCGGATAAAATTATAACTTCGCTATTTTTTAATTGATTTAAATATATTTCGATACATAGTAATTCACTATTTCAGAATTATGGTTTTAAGAACAGGAACGGAGTAATAACTATTCAAAAATAATCAAGGCTTCACTGTTGATAAACATATTGACATAAAAATCAAAATATTGTTGTTTTAAAAAATATTTAATTTTTGATATAGCTGCGTTTGCCTTCTTGCTTGGTTTAAATAAATTGGTATAAAATTTTTGAAATACATTTTTTTTATTTTCCAATTGTCTTTAGATTTTTTTGTTTTCCCAAACGCTGTGTGTTTGCTGGCATCGGCACCATTGTTAGGCCACCCGCCACGTATGTCGACTTTTGCCAATATAAGCCGTATGTTCCTCTGCAAGTTTAAGTTTTGGCTGTCCCTAATTATGGCGGACGTTGACGAAATCATTAAAGATCCCCTCTGCGCTGACGATATGGACATGTATAGCTCCTGGAATTCGAACCATTTTGTTGTTGACTGGATTTTCTCGACAATGGCTCGATTCTTGCTGTAGTGTTGGGTGTATGTATGTTAGACTTTGTTTTATAACCACAAGAAAAGAATGTACTGTAAAGTTATAAGATATATTGTTCTTTATTATATCGTCCGTTTAGATCGGGACTCATTTCTTGAATGCTCACTTAAGACTACGGTTGGCTTGGCTTACAATTCATATAGCTGCACGAGCAGCGCCGCGGCCAACGCTTATGTATCTCAATATATATGTTAATGTATACGTAAGTGTATTTAGGCGGCGCAAGCAGCGGCCGCGCATGAGAGGGAGAGTGTTATGCTCACATGGTAACCGAATGGTCGGCCGCGCATGCAGACATGCCGACTCAGCATTTAGGATGTGCATAACATTGTTGTGTGGGTCGAATTGCTTTGCACTTGAAGTGCTGGGAATATTCGGACATAAACAAATGCTACAATGTTATAGTGATATAAGCGGTACAGTGTGTACCCAATATATGAGCATACTACATCTCCCTCCTTTTGAAAAATAACGTAATCTATGGAGTTATTTTGTTAGTTATTGTGTTAGGTATATATATATATGTTTATAAAAATTAGCAAATTAATAAAATTCTTTTTTTTTTTTTTTGTTATTATTATTATTATTTTTTTTTTTGTTTAATATAGTAAATATTGGAAAACTTAGTGAAGTTGAAACTTTGAAAATTTATGCGACTATTTCTTATTATTTATTATAAAATGTATTGTATATTTGTATTCCTATATTTTCATTATAGTAAGGTAAAAGAAAATTTTTCTTATTTTATTTCCTTTTTTTTTTTTCTTATGAATGGCCATCCTACAAAATCTATTCTATAAAAAATTTTTAATCTATTTTTATGAACTGTCTGTGTTTTATTTTTCGCATTTAAAATAGTTATATTATTATTGGATTCTATCTTCTTTACTATATATGGTCCTGAATATTTAAAGTCTAGCTTATGGCCAGTTTCATTTTTTAATAAAACCTGGTCTCCTATTTTTAATTCAAAGTCTAAACTATTTTTGTCGTATCTATCTTTTTGTTTTTGTTTATTAGTTTCTAGCATTATTCTGGCTCTTTTATATGCCTGTTCTAATCTAAATTTAGATTCCTTAGCATAATCTTCTATATTATATAATGGTTCTATTCTATCTATGCTATTGAAAAGTTTTGATAAGTTTGGAGTTTTCCCAAAAACTAGTTCATATGGACAATAATTATGTGCCATAGAGGGTGTTGTGTTAAAGCAGTATACGAAGTATTGTAGCCACACATCCCAATCTGTTTTATCAACTGAGATGTATGAGCGTATGAACTCGTTAAGTGTTCTGTGGCTTCGCTCCACTGTTCCGACAGTCTGGTGATGGTGTGCAGTAGAATTTATGTTTTTGATATTTAAATTTTTACATAAATCTTCAATTATTGAATTTTTATATTCCGTTCCCATGTCCGTAATGAACGTCTTCATTGGACCGTACTTCAGAATAAAATCTTCGAATATAGCTTTTGCTATTGTTTTTGCACTTTTATTTTGAATTTGTATTGCTACAAGGTATTTTGTTAAATCGCAGATTAAAGTAACTGCGTATTCATTCCCTTGTTCAGACTTAGGTAGTGGACCGATCGTGTCCACGATTACCCTGTCAAAAGCTGTTTGCGGTGTTTCCGTAATTGTTAATGGGGTCTTCGTATGCGTGATTATTTTCGCTTTTTGACATTTTAGACATTTTCGTACGTACTCTGTAATATATCGAGTCATTCCTTTCCAAAAGTAATGTCTTTTGACCTTGGCCAAGGTTTTAGAAATGCCAGTATGACCTCCTTGAATTGGTTCATCATGGTATGTAGACATAATTGCTTCTTTTTCTTTTTCAGAATTTATTAGGGTCACCGGGTTGAGTAGCGCTACTCTCAATGATTTTAATGTTTTATTGCCCATTTCCTTAAAATTATCTATTGAAACGTATTCAAAGATATTTTCCCACGGTGCCACTTTGAGTTGGCTGATTTGATGTATACCGGCTTGCTTCTCAAGCCTTTGGAAAAACTGACCTAAGTCAAAGACTCCATTGGTATATAAATCGCTAACATCATATCTTGCAGTAACTTTTTTTCCATGTTTTAATAAACATAGCATATTTTTTACATGCAAGGTCACTACTTTACGTACTTCGTCATTGTTTATGACTCCGTATACGTTGGGCTTTGAAGCTTTTTCTATAGATTGCCTAGGCAAGTCTATTTCTTTTTCTCCTGCGCAGGATTTCTGTCTACTTTGATTTCTTGTAGTGACTTTATGTATATTTCCGGTTATACTTTGTAGTTCTTTGATGGTTATTCTTGATAACGCATCAGCTACGTAATTGTCTTTTCCCTTTAAATATTCAACTGTGAAGTTATATTCTTCTAATTCTAGCCTCATACGTGTCAGTTTGGAACTTGGGTTAGTCATTGAGAACAAGTATGTTAACGGTCTGTGATCGGTTTTGATAATGAAATGTTTTCCATAAATGTATGGTCGAAAATGTAATATTGCCCAATGTATTGCAGCTGTTCCTGCTCGGTAGTACACTTATTACTTTCTCCCTTGGTAAAAGCTCTTGATGCATATGCAATGGGGAGTTGGAGTCCGTTATGGTTTTGAGTTAAAACCGCTCCACATGCTTGCTTACTTGCATCAGTAATTATACAAAATTCTTTACTAAAATCTGGATATTGTAGCAAAGTAGGTTCCATAAGTTTTGTTTTTAAATATTCGAATGCGTTTTGGCATTCAGATGTCCATTCAAAAGGAATGGCGGCGAAATTTTTTATGAATCTTCTGTATTAATTGCAGAATGCTACAAAACGTCTTGCGCTGTCTGCATCGTGTGGGACTGGATAATTCAGTATGACGTCATATTTCTTGTCATCTGGAAGTATTCCTTTATCTGTGCACTTATGACCTAGAAAAGTCACCTCATGCATAAAGAATGAACATTTTTGTGGATGTAACTTTAGGTTGTATTTCCTACATTTCTCAAAAACGTCTGTTAATTTTTTAAGCATATGTTTTTCGGAACAACCTATAACTATTAAGTCATCCATATAAAGGAATGCTTGTGAAGGTTCAAGTCCAGAGAATGCAATAGTCATCATTCTCTGAAATGAATTTGGCGCTATTTTTAAGCCAAAAGGTAATCGTGTGAATCGATACGAGCCATTACTCGTTGAAAAGGAAGTTATGTCCCTTGAGCTTTTTTCAAGTTCTATTTGATGAAATCCTGACATTAAATCAAGACATGAAAAGTATTTTGCTCGACCTAGTTGGTCTAAAATATCATCAATTCTAGGGAGTGGAAATTTATCGGACAATAATTTTTTATTAATCTGACGATAGTCAATTACTAATCGCCACTTTCTTTCTTCGGAACCTGGAGCTGATTTTTTAGGGACAAGTAATAATGGGCTATTGTATTCCGATACTGATGGTTCGACTATCCCGTCGGTGATTAGTTTTCCGACTTGCTTTTGAATTTCGTTCACCTGACCATGTGGGCTTCTATAGTTTTTTATGTAAACGGGTTCATCATCTTTCAATCTCAGTTTTTGTTTGTAGAAATTATTTGTGCTTATTGGTTCGGATTCTAATCCGAATATGTCATTATATTTTTTACATAAATTTGTGAGTTGGGATTTGAATTGTGGGGGAAAATTTTCTGACAATTGGGATAATACAGACTTTTCTCTATTTTCTTTGTTTCCTTCAACTACTTCATAGTTCAATAGTGATTCGAATTTTAAATTGTTTGCACTGACCACTTTATCTTTGCTTGTTGTATTCAGTAGTCTTATGAAGGCATTTTGTGTTGTAGCTATTGTACTTGCTATATAAATTCCTTGCTCAATTTCTTGAGTTGGAATTAATATACTGTCTTCTTTTGAATTTAATTTTATTTTTCTAATGACTTGTGATCTTGCTGGCAGAAGAATTGAGTTATTGCCAGAACTGTATTCTATTGGAACATAAATTGGAAATTTTAAATTGTTTGGTCTTATTATAAGCCAATCTTCAGATGGCTGAAAATCTAATTGACAGTTGTATTT